TGGAGCAGCCCTGGCTGGACGCCGGGCTGGGCTTTAGTAGCGTGGTGGAAACAGCCCTGGCTCCGGTTGGCGTGGGTGAGGAGGGGGGGGTAAGCATCCTCTTTAGGAAACTTGCTATGATCCATGCGGTAATTTGGGGCCCTGGCCTGCAGCGCTTTGATGGAAACTATTTTGAGCTCAAAAAATCAAACTGGGAAAAGCGCTGTTAAGTCACAGCTCGCCGCTGCTTTGGAGCCCGAGGTGGGGTCCTTGGGTCGCGCGGCTCCCTTCCTGCCCGGGCCACGCCCTGCCCCCCAGCCCCAAGCTGCGTGAACTCGAGTTCGTTTGATTTGAAAAAATTGTAAATTTGGGGAGCCTGGTCAATAAACAAGGCTTTAGCCCCACGCAGTACCGCTGCTACTGAATCGACGGTCTGGTAAACAGTTCCCCAGCCCTAAGTGGGCGTGGAATAAATGTTGCAAGGATTCCGCTGCCTTTAGGTACTGTGGACTTGGAGAACGGCGCTGGATGGACGGGACAAGGTTTTATCTGTTGGACAGAGGGTCGCTTGAGAGTCACAGTCATCTGTCTGTGGCATCTGATAACAGTATAGAACAATAATGGCAGAAACGTTCATCAACAAAATACAAAGGCTAGAAGCTGCCAGGTCAATATGATAGATTTCTTAATGCTTTCAAGAGAATATCCACACGGTTGATAGAAGAGTGAGAAGTCATTTTATGAGGGGAAGGGGACAATCAGAATGTAGTAGGCTTTGAAGACTAGAGTCCAGGAGTTAGAGTGAGACCATCTAACAACCCATTAATAAGAGGTGATTCTGGCACATGAGACTCTAGAGGACAGAGTAGAACTGCCCTAATAGAACTTCCAAGGCAGAACCAGATTGCTATATTCTTTTCCTGGAGAGCAGTAGCGGTGTGTTTAAACCTGTAGACCTTTCAGATACTAGCTAAATTCTTAGCCGCTGCACCACCAGATCTCCTCACAAATGAAAAGAAACTTCTGACTCCAAGGTCTTCTTTAGCAGTAAAAGGATTGAATCCTTAAGGCATTCCTGGCTCTCCCACCATCAGATTTCCTGTTCTATTTTGAAGCCTAGAAATAAGTTGGGTCCAAAACATAACAACCTTCTGCACAATAGAAGGAGCTTCACAATCAGTACTGTGCTTTAACATTCTGGACATGATTTGTCAGCTCCTTTAAAATTGATATATCTCCATTAGCTGCATTAAGTCTATGAAGTCCCATTAAATGAGATGGGCATAAAATTTAGAAGAGTGAGGATCACATGATATATTCTGTTCTGGACTGACATCCCGGTGAATACAGTGTGAAGCAGAAAAATTTGTAGTGGAGAGACTGGATGGTTATCTCCTCAAATTAAAAAATTAAAAAAATGTTTTCTCAGACATCTCCTATTCTGAACACATATTATTCCTAACTGTAGTGGCATAAGTGGTAAGGAGTTGCTCTGTCAACCCAAAGGCAGACAGTTTGAATCCACCAATCTGTTCTGAGGGAGAAAGAGGAGCAGTCTTTTTCCTGTGTTTCATAGACTCCAGTTTTTAAAGGGTCAGCTATCAGTTGCTTCCAACTTGACAGCCATGAGTTTGAGTTTTAAATCCTCTAAAACCCCACTGCAGGGCTGGCTGTTATTCAGTTTAGACTCAACAGCACCTGACTACTCACAGTAGGGCTCTGGTGGCACAACCCCCAGTGAATTGAGAGAGAAAAATGGATAATCTCTCCTGTGCAGTTCATATCCTTGGATTTTCAGAAGGTCACCTATGAATTGGTTCTGACCTAAAAATAGTAAATTTGAGTTTCAGTAACTCAAAGTAGAGAAAGCAGTCCCAGTAAAGTTACGAACAGGGATACTTGTAGGAAAAAAAAATCTGAAAGGGGATTACATGCATTTCCTGATCCATTGTTCATAGAGTCCTGTGAGTTGTAGTCAACATAATAGCACCTAACAACAACAACCACTTGAGGTAAAGGCTAGAAGTAGTGTAGGACTAGAAATAAATGAGTATTTTTAAAATTACAGATTAGCATAGTGAAATATCAGCCGTTGATATCACTGAAGAAGTTTTTGTGAAAGCCACATTATGCTAAGTGCTCTGAAAATGCAAATAACTATGAAATACTAAGCACCTATGCATAAATAACTTGCAGTCTGGTTGGATGAAAATTTGTGCTTAACACAGAAAAGTAAGTTGAAAATATACCTTTCAACAGAAACTTGAAACCTTAGAGAAGTATGATGCTTTACCATGGAGATCTGCTTTCCTGTGAGTCAACAACTCATTGCTCTTGAAAAGTGTCTGACTCATAGAGCCCTTCTATCATGTTTCCACGGCTGTAAATTGTGATGGGAAGAGACTGTCCATCTGTCTCTGTAGAGCCATTGGTGAATTATAATCAGTGGAGATGAGTGAGTGAGTGCCATTGGTGAATTATAATCAGTGGAGATGAGTGAGTGAGTCTGCTGTTTTGCTCCTTGTGTGCCTCCCTTCATCCCACCCCAAACATAGGCATCAAGTCACCCTCCAGTAAGTTTTCAAATGCTGTAAATCATGGGAGGAGATTGTTCATCTTTGTCCTACAGAGCAGCTGGTGGATTCGAACCACTTGCCTTTTCAATTGCCAGCATAATTCTTTATCCACTAGACCACGAAGGTTTCCTAAGTATCAGTAGTATAGATTAAATAGAATGTATAAGAGAAAAGAAAGCTCAGCATGTACTACTGTATTTGACAACAAGAGTATTTGACTCACATTTTGATATGAGGAATATTCTTGGTAAAGAAAATACATTGTACAAAACTATTTTAAACAGTTTTTAAAAAAGAATATTTTTTAAATACACAACCCAGATCTGTCTTGGAAGATGTGCAGCCAGAATGTACCTTAGGAATGAGAAGCATGCTTTGGGCATGTCATCAGGATGGACCAGTCCTTGGAGAAGGGCATCATATTTGTATTAGTTGAGGGTCTGTGAAAAAGAGGAAGATGCTCAACCAGATGTATTTACACAATGGCTGCAACAATAGGCTGTAGCACAATGGTGATTGTGAAGATGGTACAAGATCAGTGTTTAATTCTGTTGTACGGGTTGCTGTAAGAAGCACCTACCAAGACTCAAACTTGAACTGGATTTAGAGGATTTGGGTAAATCTGAGAGGAAGAGCAGTACACTGCAGATTAGTGAGGTTATAAGGAAAAATTAGAATGGAGGTGATCTATCTAGCAGGTGAAGGATGTGTGTAAGAAAGTAGGATCACAGATGGAAGCTTTTAAAAATGGGAAGAGCTCAAATTTAACATCAGCAGCATCAACGTAGAGGGATTTTTTTCCCAATTAGAGGACACTTTCAACTAGAAGATCTTTTAATGTTGTTCTTATGTACTGTCAAATCTAAATCAATTTATAGCTGACCCTCTAGTGGGTTTTCAGAAGCTGTAAACTGCACAGAGGAGATTGCCCATCTTTTTCATGCAGAGCAGCTGATGGATTCGAACTATGTCCTTTTAGGTTGGCAGTCACTTTTCCCCACATTTCTCAGATGCAAAGAGAGATAATTTGTAGCCTCCCAGTGCTAAGAGCAATCCTTATGTTTTTAGATTTTTAAATATACTTTGTTACGAGTAGATTTATTCATTCTTGAATCAGTCCTATGATGGAAACAGTAACTTGTGTGTGTGTGTGTGTGATTTTTTAAAATTTTTTTCTTTTTTTATTAATAATGTTACTGAATATTTACAGAGATTTTGGATTTCCATTCATTCATTGCTGCACTTCTCTCCTTTTTTAAAAATAATTTTAATGAACATTTACAGAGAATTTGGATTTCCATT